TTAGACCATAATAACTGTGCCAAGTCAAAGTGCACTGACTTTAGTCCCTCAAAATTAACACACCAGCAGACACACCAATATGAACTGAAAACTTTCGAACCTATACTTCACGTCTGAGCATATTCACATAGAATTCACCACACTCCAGCATCTTGAACATATTGAAGTAATATCATGGACATTTGGAAAAAATTAATCTGGATTTTAAGTGAAAGTACATCAACTAAGACGCAACCAGAAACATGCAAAACTCACAAGAACCACTGTTAAAAAGTGACCTGCACATGAATCTTATTACAATATTGTACTTTCGTTTTTGGTACGTCCCAAAAAGAATAATATATTTCCATGTTTATAAACAATTTAACTTTATTGACATGATTTATAACCACACAAATACGTATAGCTCGTTTTAGACCACAAATTTTAAAAGTCGATCTTCTCTCTTAAACTTCAGTCCAGTCAAACAACATCACATAAAATGAGACGGAGACAGAGTACTTGTTTAATTCTTGATGTGAAGGAAAAGTTGAGGGATCTAAGATGCAACTGCTGTTATGACAAACTACTACCTATATCCAAACAAAGGGAAACCTATGGCCAAAACAAGACACAAATAAAAGAGTATATACATAATAACGAAGGAACAACTCATACTAAAAATAATAAAGTGATGGAGTAATAAAGACCCATGAAGATGAAAAGCAACAGTCTTTAACAGTAAAATTGATTCAAATCATTCAGATCTTCATCGAATATTAAAAAGAACAAACCAAATTCTAGAACCCATTTCAAGAAACCCAACAGAACTACAAATAGAAACTACCCAATCTTAAAGAATTGCAGAACTAACCGACAAAGATATAAAAGGAGTCAGATCTGCCAAAAATACATTAAATGACCAGTTGATATCTCAAAATCAGAAGAAACTGAAAATGTACATACAAAAATAGAGATCAATACAGCAAAAATAACCAAGTATTGGATCTAAGTATACCCCCCAAAAAAACTGAAGTACCCAATTACCAGTAGCTCTAAAAACAGATCGGAGAAAAAGGAAGCTGTTAGGAGTGAATCATTATAAACCAGTAATAACGGGTTTCTAATGCTTCCAGGAGGAATGCAAAAAAGCTAATCAGCTATGACTTAGAGAACTCATCGGAAAATGAAATTTTTGTAGCTTTTATACAGGGATTGATTTCCTTCCCTATACCATTATATTACCATTTCTTCATTAAACCAATCATTAAAGGAGAGAAATTTTCACCAAAAAATAACTGGTTTGACACCACAAAATTAAAAAAAAAAAACAAGAAAAAATTCAGATTCACAGACCTAGAGCAATCCTACAGCAATCGATATAAATATAAATACACCAGCCCTAGAGCAATTCGACAACCTCCATGGATAGATTGAAGAGTTAAAAAAAGGCATCAAAATAACTTACATGGCTAAAATCACTGCTGTTGGATTTAGGGATTTGGGGAGAGCACCTATTTTGAGGAAATTTGCTCAGATGCCTCAAAATTTCGCCACCCCCTTCACGATACCAAAAATTTCGCCACACCCACTAAATCAACAAAACTTCTGTGTAAAAACCAATTAACCAAGTTCAGAGAGTGCAAGAGAGGAATACGATAGAGAGGAAGATTTTTGGAGATAGAGGCGTTTGCAGTCGAAGAACTTGTCTCTGAGGGTTCAGTGCAATCGAAGAAGTCTGAGGGTTCTTAATTTGGGGGTATTGCTATAGCTTTGGATTAATTACAATTTTAACAGGGAAAGGGAAAAAACGGTCTTTTCACATAATATTCATTATTAAAATTATTCAAAAATAAAATAAATAGGGGTTATTTTGGCGGGTTTAACAAAATTTAGGGGGCAAAATAAGGAGAGAAAAAATAACCGTTCCAATAGAATTTTTTTACAATAAAAGCGGTCCAGTAGATAAATTTATTGGGACGGTTTATATAACCGCTGCGCCAGATTAATCTATGGCAACGGTTGTTTTACAATTGCAACGGTTGTATAGCTTAAGTGTGCTGATATCACCTAAATGCTATTGTAACGGTTGTAACCGTTACCGTAGAGGTTCTATGGCAACGGTTGTTCAACCGTTGCTAAAATAACTATTGCCATATGTCCTTTTTGTGGTAGTGTCCCATGGTTAAAAATTTGCCCCCACCATTGAACGTGGCAATAATATATTACTCCAATTTGCATGGAGAAAGAGACAGCCAGTGGAAAACCGTTGAAGAGCAGATCTCAAAAAGGGTTTAGACGTTAGTACACAGATGATTGGTAAAGTAGTCAATTTTATACTACAATTATCCGTTATCTTAGTCATTAAGCAATTCTTAATCAAATGGTAATTGAAAAGAGTGCATATCGAAATGCTTAACACTCAGGCGCTTGAGTGGCTAAATCTGCAAGATCAATGTTAAATTGTTGATGTAGGACAGAGAAAAAAAATGGCATAGTTTGCGGCTGACAATGCGAAAGATTTTGTTAATTTTTCTTTTTTAATTAATCCATCGGCCCAAGCTTTCACCTCCTGTGGTGATGGGGGTTTTGCAAAGTTTTTGTTAATTGGTTTGGAGAGTAACATATGAGCAAGAGCAAAGTTTTTAATATCCCCTTGTCTTGTTATCCTCATCAAAAATAAAATTAATGTTAGATTTAGTAGCAAAGCCAAGATTCTCACTAACTAGTGTTAAAATATAAAAATTAATTATTCGAATAAATTAAAGGGATTCAATATATAATATATATATTTAAAAAATATATCTAACTACACAGTGTAACATTTCAATGTTTTAGATGGCTCCGCTACTTAGACCTACAAGAAAATTAATTTAACTATATTGGGGTGTGGCAATAGTTATTACTCCAATTTGCCTAGAGGAAGACCGCTTATAGACAACCGTTAAAGAGCATATCTCAAATAGGGTTTTTACCATATTCTGCTGATTGGTAAAAGAGTCAAGTTTATACTTTCTCGTCCCGTCTATTTTAATTGTCATGTTTCTCTTTTATATGTTCCCTAAGAAACTATTAATAAGAGGGGCTTTTGACTACTATATCTTTATTTAATTCTCTTCACTTTTAGGTTTTCCGTGTTATATAGTCAATGTTTTTACTTTCAAGAATGTATTCCATGTTTTTACTATTAAAAACATTTAATAATAAAGGTAAAATGAGAAAAAGTAATTAATTATATTTTGATTTTCTAAAATGACCGTTATTTTGGACCATATATATTTTAGTAATTACGATAATTTATATGTACAAGAATGTTGGAAATTAAATCAAGATTAATTAGTATTCCTAAGTGTCTAGGATTTGATATTTGGTAGTTTATTTAATTCATATCTAGTTAGGTTTTGATTGCCAATTTTATATTGGAATAGGTTTTAATTTTGTAGTATTATAAATAGGGGTGCTACTACATATTTTCTATTATGGAGAGATAGTTATGATATAGAGAGATTCAAGAGTTTATGAGTTGTGAAAAAGCCTCCGACCAAGTTCTCTCCTTAGTTTAATATCAATGTTAATATAGGACGGCGAAAATGGCGAAATTTGCAGCTGGCTATGGCGAAAATAGTCTTTCAGAAAATAAGTCGCGTGTCTAGTATTTGTTTGCTAGAAAATAACAGGATATTTTCCTCCAGGAGGGGAAAATTTACTTCCCTAGGCCCTAGCTAACCTATAAGCGAAAGTCATATTTTTCTTCATAAGTATTCTAACTTTTAACTTCATATCATTGTTACGTTCCAAATAACACATGATCATTATAATTAATCTTTAATATTTAAAATTTTCATCAAAATAGTATCCAATTTGCTAATATTATCATCAATATTCCTTGAAAAATATATTTTCTTTTAACTATTTTCTCTTTACAAAGTATCTACTGGGAAAATATTTTTCAAAAGAATACTTTTTATTAGAAAACAAATAGTTTTTTCCTAAAAAAAAGGTAATTTGGTGCACAAAGCATCTCACATTCACATAGGTCTGGGAAAGGCTGCACCCTAAGAATGTAATATAGACATGCTACCCTAATGCAAGCATTAGTGGCTGCTTTTACGGTTCTTTTTCTATAATATTAAAAAAAAACATGTCATGCCAAATATACCCAAGCCAATGCATTGGAGAATATGCCGCTGAGCATGAAGGGATTACCAATACCAAAAAGGAAGCACCTTTGCTCACCGACGAAATTGGATGAATGATAAAACTGGAGTTATTTTGTTTGAGTTTTGGTTCATTTGTGATTTGGACGATTATAGTGTTTTTCACCAAGTGAAATAATTAAGAATTAATGATTTCTTCCAATATCTCTCTATTGCATTTTTCTTTCGTTTAGCTTACACGTTGAAGGGATTTATATATTCCATGTATTGTAATTAAACAAAGATTAATTAAGAATCGATCATAAATTATCTAGGATATGGTACTTACTAGTTTATTTAATTCATGTTTAATTAAGTTTTGTAGTCAAGTTTATGTAGGAATATGTTTCTAATTTCTAGTCAATTTTGATTTTGTAATATTATAAATATGGGTATTGCTACATTATTTTCCGAAGTTATAAAGTAGCTATGATATAGAGGAATTCAAGAGTTTATGAGTAAGTAAAAAACCCTCTTATTCCGTTCTTTCTCTTGTTTGATAAATTTCTTCTATATCACCTTTATTAAATTTTTTTCTCATGCCTAAATTATTCTTTATAGGTGTTTTAATCCTTTGGACTTTGTTTTTGGCTACAAAAATAGATACTGAAATTTGATTCAAAGATAGTTCTTGAATAAAATAACAAAAAGAAAATCTCTATGCATGGGTTTCACTTTTATATTGCCCAAACCCCAAAACCCTAACATGCATGGTTCATCGAAGTTCCATGCACGTAGGTACTAAAATATAAACCAATACAAAAATAAACAAAAACAAATAACCCAAAATTAACCAACTAATTCTCCTACTTAAACTCATCCTCTCCCCTATAAAACCCCAAAGGTGCCTGACAACACTCAGTACTCCCAAAGCAGTAATAGCATTCTCTCTTACAATTCTCTTTATTATTTCATCACTTTCTCCCCAAACAACAGAAATGGCCGGAAAGATTGCATCCTTTGTGGTTTTGTGCATAGTGGCAGCTGCGCACTGCGCAGAAGCCCTAACTTGCACTGAGGTGGACGCGTACCTCAAAGATTGCGTACCTTTCCTTACAAAAACTGGGCTTCTGGGAACCTGTTGCGACGGCGTCAAGAAATTAGACGCCGTTGCCACCACCACAACTGACCGTCAAAGTGCATGTACTTGCCTGAAAGCTGCTGGTGAAACTATCATAGGACTTGATTGGAGTAGAATTGGTGATCTTCCAAGTGCCTGTGGTGTCAATCTTCCATACACTATTACCGCTGACATTGACTGTTCCAAGTAATTCACCTTCTTTAATTTCCCTCTCTGTAGACACATCAAATAATATTGCTTCTATGCTAATTTTTTTTTTTTAAGCCATTAACCTCCGGTATTGTGCCTTTGGTTATGGGGGTTTGGCTAGACACCTACCATATGTCAATATAT